CTTGGAGAATCTCAGCTTAAGTGTTGTTAGCCATTTACTCAAAAATGAGATAGTTTTAAATTAATTATAATCCTTTGCACTTCTATAGCTGCTTCTCTTGAGAATCTCAGTAGTGTTCTACAAACATTAATTAAGCCTAATAGTACTCCTGAGAAGTGGTTAACTGATAGATATACTTCACTTAACCCATCATGATATAAGTGATCTCTAGAACAAAATACAAAAACTTTAAACAGCAGGACTACACAAGAGTTTAGAGCCTGAAGTAAGCGTCTTAGCGAGATAAAACTGTGGGGAATGTTTAGATGCATGGAATGTAATTACTTGGCCTAGGCATGATTTGAAGATAAATAAAAGTGCAAAAACTGAGGAACTGAGATCTTTAGTGAAGGAAAGCGGTTTTATATCTGATGTGAGAGAAGATACCCACAGCACCACAGTATCACCTGGTGTGACTCTGGACGATGAATTGGACTGATTCAGAGAAAAAACTGCTATTTACAGAAATCACCTCCAGGTGGGCCAAAGAGCGTGAGTCCAAATCGAACCTTTAAGGCTGATGCATGAACAGCAGTGATAACAGTTAAGTCCTTACTCTCACCCCTGAGGGTACAAGGGCTGCTGAAAATAGCAACAAAACAGCAGTATCAGTGTGTACATTTACAGCCCAAGACTGTTAGTTTTGCTGGCGAATCTTCATGCATAATTTTCTTCCTGATATTACTCCACAAAGAGAAGCTTTTGTTATCTTGCTTTACTGATGAGAGCAATACTTAAAACGAGTTAGTGCTGGAACAGGCAACAAGTTGGGTTTGGTGCATGCATTAGGACTTGGATCATCCTCAAGCACCCCTTCCGCTGTTCCATTCTCAAAAAATCTGCTGCAAATATTTGTTTCGGAGCTTCCAGTGTCTACGGGAAGAGCCATTCCAGAAATATGCTCCAGCTGTACATACTTATTTTCCTACTAACAACAGCAGAAGAGGTATGGAATCACTTGCTTGATACCCCTACCCGCAGCAACACAGCAAAGTACAATTTTAACTGTTTTCTCACCGACTAATACCAACGGCCATCCAGTGGGTCTCTTATTCGACATTTGATAGTTGCTGCAATGCTGAAATGCCTTGTGAATAGTTTTAGCATTTGCTGAGGGAAACTTTATGATGCACAGTCTAAATTCTCATATGCACATTCTGAAATTCTGAGGAAGCAAATCAGCACTGAAAAGTGACATGATAATGAGTTTGCACCAGATTTTTATTTATAGAAATGATTTGGAAACATTTGGGTCTCCTCTTTGGATACATTTTCTTTCCTTTTTGTTTCCCAGCAGTTCTGTGCTTCTGGGACTACAAACTCTCACATAAATATTGGCAATAAACCCTTGCTGAGAAAGACTACCTGCTGGAAGAAAATCTGCTCATTTTATCCAAGTGGAATGCCTAGACACTGCAATTAGTCTTTATCCTTACTCATATACAATAAAATTCTTTATTCGCATTTTGTGAATTGTAATTCATGACATACATGACTCTGATGCCTAATGAACCCCCCTGCAATGCTTCTGCTGAGTTCAGTGGCCTTTGCATCGGGCCCTGTGTTTGCTTCATTTCCCCATATTTTTAGCTGCTTCAGTAAGTTCTTTATCTAGAGAAGGGTCTGAAACCTCTTTTTTTTTTTTTTTTGCACATATGCATGATATTCTATTGCCTCTTTTATAATTTATAATAAGTAGTTTCCCTGGAGTGCAGAAAGCTTTTCAGAAATACTATACTTGAAGCAGTAAAAGGAAGGGTAACTGCACTGTTGTACCGCTGCATCATAATATTTAAATAAATACTTTATTATTTCATAATCTGTCCTAGAATTTAATCATTCCAAGCAGGGTCGGTCTCTTTATGTCAAAAGGGATAAGTTCCCGATTTTCAAATATGCATATATAAAAAAAAACAGGAAGACGTTGCTTCATTTTCAGTGTGATTCCAGCTTGCCAAAGGCTCCATTTCATTGCATAACCTTCTGGATGTAGATCCATTACTGCACTGTAAAGTGGCTTACTGGACAGGGTAAGGCAATTCATCCTCTGAAATGCAGACTGTTGTTTTGCCAGTTACATGGTTTATAATTATCCATTATCATTATCTTTATAGTTATTTTTACCAAGGTTACAGACATGTCGTGTCTACTTGAAAGATGTTCTGTTGGGTTCTTTTGGAGACTCATTCTTCCCCTCTGTAGACATAAATGAGCAGTGCACATAGCACAGCCAAGTGAGTTCAAAAGGAATAAAATTGGTAAGAAATTGAACAGATTAAGCCCCAAATTGCGTACTTAAGAAACTGAAATAGTTTTGAAATAGTTTTGCCTGTGGAAGCCAGTCTCTGCCAGGAACTACTGTGACTAGTAATAGCTGCTTCTTTTCTTTTATCTTTTTTTTTTTTCTTGAGCACTGCTGAAGCCTCATGAGTTATAAGTAGTCAAATCTCACAATCCTGGGACAAAGTCTATTAAAACCATGTCCTGGGACAGCGAAGTTCTCCATTCCATTCCTGGCTCTGTCACTGACCATCTGCCACTTGTCCTCTGCCTTGCTTGAGTTTACCCATGTGTAAAATGCACTTAAAATAGGCTAAACCATACTTTGAAAATTACTTTAGTGCCACAAGCTAGAAATTTGGGGTTGCAACATGGAAAAAAACGGTTCCGTGGTTGCTAGTCCATAGAAACCCTGCGCATCTCCCTGGCCGCACTCCTGGGGAGGCTAAATCTGGCTGACAGGGCTCCACCCTGCACTTGAGAGGCAGCAGAATACCACATTAAGCATGCATGATGCCTGCCCACCTGCAGCTGTTAATTTGTTTAATTAACTTACTATGCACAACAAGAATCTCATCCAACACTAACTGGAATTAATAGGAAGACTTCTGTTGACTTCATGATCTTGGGGTTGGTCTCCATAGGCATGTAGAGACCACTGCCTAGAGATCCCTAAAGTCCCCACAAAGGGAAAGGCTTTGTTTGACTGACACATAGATACATTTCTGTGCAATGAGCCTGCAGGAGCTGGGCACACAGTAAATCTGTCTCTGCCTGTACAGTAACTCTATTCACTGATGCTGCTCTTTATTCAGAAATAAATATGGCACTATAGTAATTATTTTTCATAGGCCCTTTCGCACATGGCTTTAGACAGGCCTTAATGTGGAAAACTGATGACAAGCTATGCAGGAAAGCTCTGCGGCTAGATATGTTAGGAAAGGTAACTTGATAGAGGTGGTGACAAGCTAATAATGAAATGGAACATTGCAATTAAATGTGCTGGTGGGGAAGAAAGTGTGCCACAGCCAAGAGGGCAAGCGAGCAGCAGGTTGGTCATGGAGAGAAAGCAGAGGAGGCTTGATGGGGTGGAGGGTGGGAAGGAGGGGGAGATGTAACAAGAAGGACAGGGCAGAGATAAGCACTGTGTTAGCTGCGATGGTAGGATTGGGCAGAAACTACTTTGTTTGGTGTTTGTATCAGGCCTTGCACAGTGAGATCCGCCTCCCTGACTGCGATTTGTTGACATTGACACAATATGTAATTAAATGCAGATAAGTCCTAGAAGGACAGAAATGGTGGAGGGAAATAAACAGGTTGGGCTATAAATTAACAGCAAATCAAAGACATCTACACAAAGTTTTACTTATGACATGAGCTGAAAAGTATGAAAACTGCCACAGAATGTTTAAGAACTACGTTCTGTGAAATTTAAGTTTCCATTAGAAATAGTCAAAAATATTTTAATGGTTATGAACCTAAACTCTGAGAGGTGAACTATTCGTACATCAATGCAGTGATTTTGCAGCTGAAACAATACTCTTAGAAGTAGGAACAGACCCATTAATCTTGGATGTTAACACTGAAGCCTAAGAATTATGCCTGCATGAAAAACGAGCAAGGGCAGAGAGCACAGAATAGTTTGAATATCAAAATTACTAACACAAGCCAGAAGATGGACTTCATTATTGTTATTTATTTGAAAAACATTTCCAGGATTAAAATATACCAGAAACTGTCAAGGATTTAGAAAAATTTCTACCAGCACATTACACAATTTAAGGGCTCACAACTGAATGCAGACAAGCTTGCTGCAAAAAATACTGAGGTTCTGGGGTTTGATCTCTCACTTACTCCACTGTATATTGTTGAGAGAGAAAACATCTTTATGGGTGTGGCTAGCAACACATTTTACATAGAAATACAAGGAATGAGCAATGGTTGTTCTTGTAGTCCCTGCCTGGGGTAGGGGTTTGACACATTCCTTAGTCAGTGTGCTGTCTGTTGAGAAAAAAAAGAGACAGACTCAGCTCACAAATATCAAACCTGGCAGCACAAAGCTGTGTCTGCATGTGCAGGCTTGCACATGGGTGCTTCTGCAAGGGCAGAGACTGGCTTGTATCAGCCGCTCTGTTTCCTACGTGGGGGGTAGGAGGAGCAGCATTTCTGCTATAAACAGTTGTATTAATAAAAGCATGTGGGGAAAAAAGTTTTATTTTGTACTTTTTGCTTTTATATTCTCCTATTTGGTCAGATTTTTCAGAGGGATGAGGTAAACCAACACAGTAGGTTTGAACATAATGTAAGCATTTACAGTCCAAATTCAGAACTTCATACAAATCTTCTGTCTTTATAACATCTAAACCCTCGAGCCAAATGACAAGAACTGAGGGAAGCTTGAATTCAAAGCCAAAATTGTATGGTTGAAGCCTATCCCTAAACTTCACTTCAAAAATAGCACATCGGTACAAAATTTTGAAACCCAGGGCTGCAGTACACAAGGTGCCAGAAAAGTAGTATTTCTGTGTGTCGGTACAAGCAGGAGGACTCATTTTCTTGTGCTCAGCAACATCTTGACACGCTGCACTAATCTTAGCTGCACGCTCTTAAAAGATTATTTTTGTCTCGGGCTCTTTTCTAGTCTTTGATGCAACAACCTGGTGCGGGTTACATCAAGCCTGCAGAAAATCCCCCGTTTTCTCTTCCGTTGTTTTCCAGGCAGCCGGCACCTCCTCCGCGTCCTGGCGACGGGCGCCGCAGGTGAGCAGAAGACTGGCATATTTGGGCCGGAGATTAATTTCTGTTTAAATTAAAGGTGCTGCCGGCGAACG